TCAATCAATCTGAGTGAGCACCTCATTTGAGGCCTGTACTAAGGTGAGTGACTGCCAAACACTAGAATTAATGCTTGCATCGTTGCCGCAATCTGACATGCATGATGGCCCGACCCCATGTTTGATCACACATCGTAGCCGAACAACCTGTGCATTAGCAGCTAGCGTATGTACTTTAAGTACATCTGTCCGCGAGTGCAGAAAACACTTTTCTAAGTGTGTGCAAACAATCCAACATCTTTGCATTGCGAGGTTGGTTTGATGCGATCTGGCCTAATGCCACTGGACCACGCTTCTGGCGACCATAGGGGTGGAAAAAATAGTTGCTGTGTGGCCATAGACTGCGCAGTGACCGGTTTCGTTTGCACTGCGTACGAATCCGGTTGAGCTTCTCTGGACTCTAAAGAGCGCTGGTGTCTGTTGATGTCCTGCCGGCCATAGCTGTGAGCGGTATGGTCAAAATGAGTTATCAAACTGACTTGCAGACGTGCTACTTGCAAAGCTGGCAGCCGAGACGCCTGGTTTAAAGCGTTTAGGGTTTAGGATTACGGGTTTACTGCATCCGAGCAGCTTGGAATAAACATAGCAACAGAAATTTTCGTAGAAACACACACATACACTTAGCATTTCGCCAATATGGCACACAGCGAAATTTTCAGCATGATCATTGGGAAAAGGTTCAGCAACTTTACCAAATCAAACGAATTGCGTAGAATCACATTGAACTTGGCATCTTCATTTGTTTGGTTTCTGATTCATTAATTTTGCTTGGTGTGTTTATGTGTTCCATTGTTTCGTTGATAATCTGGAATGGATATTGCCGATTCAACTGCATCCGGAGTGTGGGGAAGTTGTGAGCCGCTTGTTTGTTTTCGAAGACGGCCATGAAAGATTAGTCATGCTGCCTGATGCCGTACATCCGTGTCACATGAGAACCATGAAAAATATACACGGCCGCACTAGTCGCTTGGATATGCTTGGATTCGTTCTTGCATGTTGTTTCGCTGCCTTTGTGCTCAGAATTTGAGTGTTGACAGTATATGTCAACTTGTAGAGTTTAATCGTTGTCTTGCCGGCATCGACATCCTGACATGGTCATATAAATTTTTCAACCCTTCAGCTGTTCACAGGTAGCTTCTTGGTTCTGAATTATTGAAAAGAGCGTGGTCAAGTCAGCTTCGGCACCGGCGCAATTGACAACAGATGATCTACCGTCGGCGCTTGTTGGCTCCGCGGACGTCGCCGTTTGAAGCAGGCGAACACGGACTGTCCGACGAGGCTTCGTTTGCTGACAGGTGCTGACAGGTGAAGTTGCAAAAACATGCAGGGCCTGTTCACGAGTTTTTCTCCACCTTGAAGACGTTTTTGTGGGAGCTGTCAGCATCAGATGAAGGAAGTACCCAACATGCGAGCATCAGTCACTTGAACAATCGTTCCATGTTTGTCGGCCAGCTTCAGCAATCTTCTATTTACAAGTCGTTTCCGTGATCATGGGTTGCATTTAGCAAACATGAGCCTCGGTCCACTACGGGTGCTGCGGCCGGCTTGGCCCACGCTGCTTCCGAGACATCGTTGGAGCAAGATCCTCGCAAAACAGACACATCACCGTCCAGAAAAGCCTCAAGGACAAGCTGAAGCGGTGAAGTTGGCAGTGCTTCATTCGAAAGACATTCCGCATTATGATCTGCGCAGCTTGGCTGTTGCGGCAGGGTAGAACCACGTTTCAGCACGAAGTATTAAATTATTAAACTGCTGCAGAGGGCCATGTGGCAGCAGCCAGTAGCAGTATCAGGTCGGTTTCGGCCGTGCAGGGAATGAAAATGTGAATTATAAACAGATCATATATACGCTTTCTAAAGAAAACCCGTGTTCCGACTCTCCGACGCGATTTTGTGCAACATCGATGTTCTCGCTCGCCTTCTGGACTGAGGAGATCTCCCCCACGAGTTTGAAGCTTTGCGACGTGCTAAGCACAGCCAGGCGCAGCGACATGTAGGACGCAGTGTAGTGAAGTGTAGAATTGCAAAAAGCAGAAGCATCGGAGGTCGACAAATGGATTGCAGCAATTACAAATGCCATCGGCGACAAATGTGTCGTTCATCCGAATAAGTTTCTTGGCAATGTCCATAGACTGTGGCGATGCTTGGCTTTCGTTTGGGCATGCGCTGGCAAAGGTTGAAAGACAAAGATCACTTTCAAATCATATTCAGCGGAATGGTATACTTTCTGCACGCTCCCTCGAATCACAAGCAGGACATGCTTCCTGTGAGCGGCACGAAGACATGTTCTAGTCTGACTAAGTGCTGCTGAAGAGAGCGGGAGAATGTGTGAATTCGTGAAGACACGATTCGAACCGCTTGCGTTTGAGGATGGGCATGAGCTCAACTCCGATCAGAAGAAGCTGAGCAACCAATTGGGTGCTACCGGTAAGAAGACATCTTGTGTCCACGGGGACTTTGATGCCACTTGCCAAGGAGAAGCCTTCTCGATGCCCTGGCACACATGGGCGTTTTCGGCCACCAACGCGTGAAGCTGGACCCAAGCAGTGAGTGATCCACAGCCAGATTTAGCTCGGCACAAGACATATGCATGATGTGATTGCTGCATACACACTCGTGCTGCTTTGAGTGATCCATGAGCACCGACATGTACAGTAGTTCCTTCGCAGTTGGTGCAGAGCACTTTCAATTATTTGCTCTGGCACGTCTCTCAACAGCGGCACAGGCGGCACAAGCTATGCGCCATTGCACTTGAGTCGCTTCCTTCTCATGATCCCTGGTTCCTGAGCTTTCTGCGCTGACCGGTCAGGTGCCGACCGTGCGAGCTTTGGGCTTGAGCGGCATTCGTGACCCAGAGGTAGAGCCTCACTGCCATGCAGGGCTCTCCTCACAATGCGGAGATCCTGATGCCTGTCTCCAGGCCATCGCTGACCGCCTTACCTACCTGTTGTCAGCATCCTCTCCACCAGGTGCTCTCAGGCTGGGGTTAGTGGCGGTTGCAGCATGGTGCAGCAGATGTTGGCATTGGACTCTGCCCCTAGAACAATGTGCTTCATGCCGGCCCAAGCACAGGAAGCTGCGCGAGATTTTTCGCTTGGCGGGCTGCCAAGATTTGACGAGTCTCCCGTGGTAGTGTGATCATGATGCAATGTGTCTTTGCTCATGCTTGTCGACTAGGTCGGATCACACGATGTTCGACTATGTTTGCGTGCACGTGGATGGCTTCCAAAACTGTTGTCGGAGACTGCCACTTTGTGGAAGCAGGAGGGCTCACAATGCTCGTCCGAAAGTCGTGCCTAGATGTCATTCCTGTAGAACCCGTCGATGCAGGCCTCGTGTTTGTCAGCCGAGTCGAACTCATCGCCTGGGTCTGAGCAGCTGTAAGCATTTGGCCCCACAGCTTACCTTTACGTCGATGCAAGGAAAGCGGCCGACTTCTGGCGTGGAGGCCTGTGGCATGCCAGCTGAACATTCTGCCTCAATTTAATTGGCAATCATGGCGTTCCGGTTTTGTCGGCGTGACAGCTTGCACACAGGAATCTGGTACTCTCTCAGTGCGGATTGCGGTGCAGCCTGTGACATTTTGGACAGCCCACACACTCCTGTCGTGGTAGTGCATAGGTGAGTCCCACGACAAAATAACACGATGTGTTTCAGGAGATCTCTTTGGAAGATATTTTATTCGCGGCCGAAGATCATCATTTCGCCGTGCACTGAGACGCAGAAACTCTGCACGTCAGTCTCCGGCAGGGCTGAGAGACGATGCTTGATGCTTCTTCGTGTTCGAGGCTCTGCAACGAGATCCTCTGTGCCAAACAAAGCCGGAGACAGCAAGCCCACGAGGAATGCTGCTGAGCTTTTTCGCGATGCAGTTCGATCAGCAGCTGGGGTTATCCTGCAGACAGCTTCAGGTGGCTTGCTGAAGCGACGCAGATCTGGCCAGATGGCCCGCAACCCAGAAGTGGCTTAGTCTTGGACCTGCGGGCGCAGAGCCTGTCATGGAATCTTTATGTCTGAACTCCTCAACTTCTGAAATGGCGGACACTTGTCTTAGACGTTTCAGAAATTCGTGGTGGTTTTCTGTTGCAGGTCGTGGGGGCGAGCACGAAGAGCGATGATGACATCAGCGCGGTCGAGATCGTAGTCCAGCGAATCAGAGAGTCCTTTGAGGACTGTGATCGCGCTTTGATCCTTAAATCGTGTCTTGTTGGTCATCGATGCAACATCCTCAGTGCGGCTGCAGCCCTATCGGCTCTTTAGGTTCGTACAGCATCTCTACGCAGTCTGCACAAAAAAAGCCGAGCCAACGAGCAGTTCAGGATTTAGATCTGTCATTGCACCGTGATCGGATCCTTAGTGTGATGTGACAAATGGCCATGCTACAGTTGGGAACGGTGGGAACACACAGAGTGACTCTGCGAGCTGATCGGGGGTTTGGGCGGCACATTGAAGGCCAGCGAGGCCTCTGTGGGAGTGGTAGAGGAGCAAGAAGAGGAGGATTATCCGCAAGAGGAGCTGCGACCGGCTTGCTGCTCGTTCCCCTTACCGGTGCATGCAGACGCGCCTTGCGGTACACGAGGTGCGCGAGAGTGTCGCGTGCTGCTTCCAGCCAGGCAAGTCCTCATCTCGTCCATGGCACCTGGTACGACAAAATTGGCACACCAGAGACACAAGCGACGGAGAGCATGCCCCCGTCTCAGCCAGGACTGCACTTATTGCAGGCTCATCGCGACTCTTTCAAGCACTTTCTGCAACATTTGTTTTGCTTCGAGCTAGGGAAAATGGCTCGGAGAGTGCAGCTCTCGGAAGATAGCATTGTCTTCATATCACAGCGTGAGGCAGAGCTACGAGACATCGCAGTAGCAGGGAGGAGTCAGTCAGCGTCCGAACTTGTGGGAGTGAGGCTTTCGAATCTGCCCGCCACTTTTCACGGCCAACGCTTTTCTTCTCAGCTATTGGCTGATCGTGTTTACTTCCTTCAAAGCTCCAGATCTGCAAACGTGGCTGAGATGAAGGGGGAAACATACCTCGCCACAGCTTTCGTCCCCATGCAAGTAACCGACTGCGAGACAGGTCTTGTGTTCACCGTGCAAGTGAAGGTCGGCAGCTTTCCAATGCTGACGGAGTACGCTAACCTGGTTATTTCAGGAAATCCCTACGTCATTGCACATCGGCTTGAGCGAAGTTCTGGAGCATACTTCTCCATTGACACCACGGCACAAGGAGAGTCCGTGCACATGATTGAACTGGTCACAGAGGAGTATTCTCGTATTCGCTGCAGATGCATGCGTGCACCAAAGGAGGAAGACAAACTGTCACTTGAGGTCCTCATGCCCAAGAGTAATGTGGTTTTGCCTGCATGTCTGGTGCTTCTGGCAATGGGCTTGAAGCCAGAAGAAATCAAGGGGACAAGGAATGCAGCTAGCATTTGGCAGGAAGAGCATCTTCGGGAATCTAACCCGGATCATGATGCCGCCTGGTTGGCCGCTGACGAGTTGTGCTTCATTCTAGGCTTGGACACCGACAAGCTCTTCGAAGGTGATCCTTTGGCCGCCTTCAACTTCAAGACCTCGTGGTCGTTTGCGAGCAGGGTTGGTCCTCTTGGAAGGCGTCGCTTAAATGAGCGACTCGGCCTGGATGTTTCAGAGCAACACTTGACACCAAAGGACTTCCTTGCAACATTTGATCTTTTGGTGGACTCCTTCTTGGGCAAGGATTCATTGCAAGTTGATGATATCGATTCTTTGGTCAACAAGAGGCTGCGCCCAGTTGGCCAGAAGATGCAGAACCTTGTGCGCGACTGGCTTTCGCAGGTTGGCCAAGCAGCTGAAGGCCTTCCCATCAAGATGGATGCTGTGCAGGGCACTGGAGCTGTGTGCACTGAGCAGGAAGGTGTTCGCGAACTGGATAAGTTCTGTATAGCACAACTCTGGAAGGAGAACAACAGACAGCTGTTCGACTCCGTTAATCCTCTTTCGGAGGTCGTGCAGGCTCGTCGCATCACTCAGGTAAGTGAGATGGGACTGGACAAGATTAAGCGAATACAAGGCATCCGTTTAATTCACCCAAGCCACTATGGTCGCATCTGCCCTATAGAAACAGGTGAAGGCATGAGCGCAGGAATTGTTATGGCAATGGCCTCAAACGCTCGTGTTACATCTGACGGAGAGTTGGAGGCACCCCACCAGCCAGTTTCACAGGGAGTGCAGCACCTGAGTCAGCCTTGGGAGTATTTATTGGCACAGGACCAGTTCGGCCATCGAGTGGCTCAGTTCGATGTGGCCCATGCAGCAGATGGAACCTTGCTGGCACCACAGAGACCAGAAAGGGGCGGCCCCAGAGCTTCTGCCGCAGCAACACCTGACACCTTGAAAAGACCAGAAAGTGTCACCATGACGCATCTTGGTCTGTTCGGGTCCTGTTCACCAGCGCAGGTTGAGTATGTTGCTTGCGGGGCTCCAATCTCCGTGGCTGTTGGTTTGATACCTTTCGTCGAGCACGATGATGCTAACCGAGCCCTGATGGGGGCGAAGCATCAGCAGCAAGCAGTGCCAACACTTTGGCCGGAGCGCCCGGTCGTGGGTAGCGGCATGGAAGCACAGGTTGCCACATACAGTGCGCGAACTACTTTTGCAGGCGTTGATGGGCACGTTCTTTACTGCGACGCGGCCAAGGTGGTTACCATTTCCTGTGCCGGTATTGTCCAGATTAGTGATCAGGTGCAAAGCATGCGGCAAAGTCTTCGTGCCCGGTATCTTGAAAGGGAGCAGATGAGCCAGTGGATTCGATTCGATGAGTTCTGTGAGCTTTGCACACGTCTTCCCTATGCTCAGCTTCAGCAGCTGTACCATGATGTAATTGTTTCCGGGACAGCCAACGATCAGAAGATCAAGCAGAGATTGCATGACTGGTCTGTCAGGGCTGGGATCAACCCATCACGCGGCTCCTTCATGCATTCAGAGGGCGTTCAGGAGGAAGCGCCTCTTCCTGCTGGCTGGGTTGAAACGGAGTATTGTATTCACACTCATATGATGCATCACCTAGTGACAGACTGTGCTTCCACCAAAAAGCATACCTTGGCCCATGACACCGTTACTGTCCGTGTGAACGATGCGGTTTGCTCGGGGGATATTATCGCTGAGGGACAAGGGGTTGCTGGTGGAGAGCTAGCCCTTGGCAAGAACCTCGTTGTCGCATACATGCCTTATGAGGGCTACAACTATGAGGATGCCATTGTCATCTCGGAGCGATGCGTTCGTGAAGATATCTTGACCTCGGTTCACATCGAAGAGATTACACTAGAGCTCGACGAAGACCTTGTGCTTAGAAGTCCCGATGGATACTGGGAGTCCAGGGAGTACATGTCCAATGGAATGGCCCGTGAGGGTGCGTGGCTCCAAGGCGGGGATGTAGCGATTCGGGCTGTGCGCACGAGCAGCACGGACACATCTCACAGTGTCAGGGTTCCAGACGGCGTTGAGGGCCGAGTGATTGATGCCAGCGTCTGGTACACGGAGAACGTAAAGTTTGGTGTTGTCAAGAAGGTGCAAGTTGCAAAGGTCTTGCTCGCCGTTTTCTGTCGGATACAGGTCGGGGACAAGCTCTCTGGCCGCCATGGAAATAAGGGAATTGTGTCAAAGATTGTACCGGTTCAGGATATGCCTTACTTGCCAGATGGCACTCCGGTCGACGTTTGCTTGAACCCTTTGGGCGTGCCATCGCGAATGAACGTCGGGCAAATTTTTGAGAACATTCTTGGCAGTGCTGGGAGATGGAACGGCGAGGAGTACCGAGTTGGATCTTTCGATGAGATGTTTGCAGAGGAGGCTTCACGCGGTTGGGAGCTTGGAGGTAGCGAAGTTTCTGAATTCTTCCACGACTTGCTTTCTGAGTGCCCACACTTTTGTGCCGAGGTTTGGTCTTCGAAGCAATGCGACGGGCACAAATCGGCTCGGGCAACAAGTGGTTGTTGGATGCTGCATCACCGGGCAAGACTCGTGTCCACTGCCTGCAAGATTTGTACGACAGCTGCCGTGTCGGCCTTCGTTGTTGTCCGTTGTCCTGACAACTCTGAAAGCCTATGAATGAAATAAGCAAGATGCAAAAATCCAGGCGAACAACTTCATGATTCATTCAACTGTTTGTTGAGCAAGATCCTGTTTTCTGATAGTATTCAGAAGGATCCAATTCGGGGCATCTCTGAGAGGTATATGATGGCAGGACTGGGAGGCCCTTGGACACACCGGTCACGGCCGGTATCTCGATTCCCGGTTGCACCTGGCCGTGCTGTGAGGAAGGAAGGCATGCTGTGATTGTTTTTTGTAGCAGAATAACTAATTCAGTTCTGTGGGAGGGAGCCAAGACATGTGGAGGTGGTATGTGCTGTTTCCGCCTCGAAGGTACATCATCAAACTCTGCCATATGGTGCGTGACTCTTTGCTGCAGCATAGGTTCAGGATGTTTTGTCCATGGCAGACCAGGTTACAGGATGTGCAAGAGAGTCGACAAAGTCAGTCCAACCAGCCATTAGAGTCATTAGAGTTCAGCCCTGCCCTGTCACGGGGGTGCACCGTTCCAACGTACCCAAGGACAAGATACATGCACGACCGGCGATGAAAAGATTTGACGACGGGAAGACCAAAGGGTATCATGTGACTGGGCAGTGGTGAACATGTTCATGTGCAGTCTCCTCTTCTTAGCGGTTTTGCAATAAGAATTCTTTGCCCAAGCTGCCTTTCACAAGGTCATTACACAGCAGCCCATAAAGGGACGCAGCTTTGCCGCATTCCAAAGGCCCTGAGGCCAAACCCGCTGGGGCAAGTTCGTCGAATGCCGAAAGCCAAGGCAGCAGAGGTGGTGGCCTGCGCCTGGGGGAAATGGAAGTCTCTGCCCTCATCGGGCATGGAGCAGGAGCAACCTTGCAGGACAGGAAGATTGTGATTGAACGTTGCAAACGAAGGCGCCAAGGTTATGAGTTTGATGCCCTCTCATGGTTGGAGGAGCTACTGACGGTAAAGTCAGATGACTTGCAGGGCAGGCATGAGATCTTTCAGAATTTATCCCAAGGCCAGGCATGAAGCGTCAACTTCCTGAAGCCACTGTCTCCACTCTTCACCTTGTGAGGGAATGACATTGCGCTTCCGAAGGGAGCCACGTCGGAGGGGCCGCTTGGTTTGCAGATGAAGAAGGCATGTTATCAGAACAGCTTTGGCTGGGTCCCATGTTTGTGGACCCAGGTACCTGGCATTCAGTCGAGAGCTTGCAGCGAGCGGCCTGGTTCTCTCCGAGGGGGCATGGTCAGATGACGAGTTGCTCTAGCTCTAGCTTGCAGTGCGCCAAAGCACTTTGGTGTTGTTTTCACCTGCGCCAGCATCTGCCTGGTCCAGTCAGCGAGACCGAACCAGTGCTTTCAACAAAAAGGCATGTTCATCATGAATCCATGTGGACTAGTGCAACGGAGACACTGCCGAAACCTTCATGAATGGACCGCTCCATTTCTGAACAAGTTGAAAGCTGATCTTTGAGTGCAGGACGCCGTCCTTCTGCCTGGATGTCTTGAAGGCTCCGTCTGTCAGAAGCCCGAAGCCCACACATTCGGATCCCAGTAGATGGCATGGCGACTTAGGTCCCCACAGACACCGGTTCCACTTGCAACAATTGATGCAGGGGGAGGGGGGCGTTGCAGAGCAGGCAGTTCTTCGACCGTTGCTGTGGGCGACGTCTCCTTGTTGGTGCTTCGCAGGCAGGTTCAGCGGTTCTTTGCAAAGTCAAGTCTCATTCCTTCCGCTGCTCGTGGGTGCATCAGGTTGCTGTCCAGCCTTTCGTCGCCGTCACCACACGGCGCTTTGCTTGGCGTGATTCGCAGACGGTTGGTTGGGTGCCTCAAGACCGCCACCAGTGCATGGACAGCTGACTCTCGCCATGCCGGAGTTGAACGTCTCGCCCTGCTGTGGGAAACTTGCGGCCTTTGTTTGCGATTGAGCCCCTGTGGTCCGCAGCACTGCGAAGAACTTGTGAAGGCTGCTTGCCCCATATTGCAGCATTGCATGGCGTCCAGCGATGACAGCCCGTCGCATCTGAAAAATATGGTTCTGAAGGCCCTCCATATGTTGGGCTCCGAGCCACAATTCGCAGATATGTTGAGAAGCACTCTTTGCTCCAATCGAGACTCCCTTCTATTCCTTCTTGTAGGCTTGCTTGGAAAAAGTAAGGGAGCTGCTATCCGATTGATTGTTGGCACTCTTGCTGCCGCTTCTTCGACCAGTTGCCAGCTTTGCGAGGCACTCAGCAGGTTTCATGTGGAGAGCTCCTATTGTCGACAGTTATGTCGGGGGCTTGGAGCTGAGCTGGAAGAGCATCTCGGAGACAGTGATGATGATGAATGTTGCAGCTTCGCAGCCTCTTTGGCACGGGTCTTCGCCACCTTCTTTTTCGGTTCATTCACCAGTGAGGAACATGCCGAAGTCCAAATCAACTTTGCCATTGGTGGGCTTCTTCTCGCGTGGCTGGCGCAGGGTTCGCAAAATGCGAGCCGTGTTCTAAAGCAGTATCTGGGATCGACGAGGTCACTGGTTGATCTTCTTCGAACATTTACGGTCTTTCAGGACCATTGTGGAATGTTGACAGACGCCTCGCTTATCAGCATGCATAAGTTGATGACGTCACTGACGTCATTGCCCGATGTCGATGGGCTTTCGCGGTGTGACACAGCGACAGATGTTTCAGGGCCATCGAAGCTGTAGTCTCCGTCTATTGTGCTAGAGTCTGCCAGAGTCGCAAGGAGTGGCAGTGGATTATCTGCCAGTCTGGCCGACGCGGACCAGTTTCGATGTGTAGAATCCTCCCAGGGTGTCGGTTGATTCGCCAATTGCATACAAGAGAGAGTTTCGAAAGCAGAAGTGAAAAGAGGGCTTCTCATGCTTTTGCATCTTTTTGCACGGTGCACTGCGGAAGAAGATCGCCATCCCACTGGGCGATAAAAGAGCCTCAGAGTCTGTTAGGGAACCGCGTCTGCTTGTTATGTCACGGCTCATATCAAAGCTTTGTGGACAGATTTCACTCAGGGCACGTGAGGGTGAATAGATACCGATAGGAAGGGTACAATTGAAGAAGCGAAGCTGCAGGCCATACCTGGTCTGAGATTGTTTAAGGCTGTGGCCAAGATGATCAGCTCAGCGTAGGCTTCAGTCTGGGTCTTTGGTCGGACTCGGTGTTGATAGAGACGCCGACAGCGTTTGCAATGGCGTCCAAGCCCCATCTCAGCTGCAGCTGGTAAGAAAGCGCACAGTCAGGTTTCGTGTCTGTTGTTGCTGAGGTGCGCGCCTCTACCTCGCGAGATAATAAAGTGGCTTCAAAGTTTGGATCTTTCGTTCAGCAACATCCTTGGCACCACGTGTTTGCAGCTAGAGTCTTGAATTTTGGTTCCGGCAAGTTGTGAGCTGACGTCTGGTTCCGGTGCAGGCATCAAGAACCCAAAACGGGATCTGAGCAACGGTGGCCCTTCGCAGCTTCTTTCACTTGGCTTGGAGTAGTGGTAGCGACGGACTATCTTGCAAAGCATTGAGCTTTCGGCCAGGTTACATTGTGGCGGAAATCTTGTCCCGCTATCATCCTCAGGACACTGCGGGGAATCTTGCGACTTTGCGTGTTTCCTTGCGAAGTCCATGGCATGTGGTCCGACTCAGTCTTGTCCAGCTGTTCCTCCAGTCCACCACCCTACTGTCTGCTTCCGGCGATCTTCATGGTACTGTAGCATGGGCTTGCAAAGGATGTGGACATGAACACGTACGAAAATGGCTCCAGGTTGGAAGCAAAGGTGGGCATGGGTCTAGCCTTTTTGCGATTGCCCGTTGTCGAGGTTTTTGGAAATCCAGGCCTTTGCCCTGCGATGTTCAGCAGGTCGACAATTGGGAGCAGTTGTACAAGTTCTTCAAAAGGAAGGGCATAGGCACAGAGTGTAAGATTTTAGTTGGAAATGCTGCGCTGTCCAGATGCTTGTTTGTCACTAGGCATCTCCAAAGCAGAGCTGCGGCCTCACCGTATTCCGTAAGTAGCTGTTGGTCAGATTGACGAGCTGCAATGTTCGAGGTTTGATCCAGTGATACACTGTGCACCGGGTGCAGCCTGGCTTGCTTAAGAAAAGCCATCCTTGCTCCGGAATGCCGTCAGTCGCATGTGCTTCATCCGAAATGTACAGTCATTGTCCACTGCAGCCGCTTCTTGCACACCTTGCTCGGCGCGGTTTCGTCTCATGCGGTTTCTTCGCAGCTGAGTTTGCAAAGGCTGTGTTGCATGTCGATGACAGGTGCAGCTGTCATGCTCATGTACAAGATCTACACGTTCCTTACCAAGTGTGTGGTGTGGTTCTCAGTCAGTTGATCGCTGTAGTTGCAGCTGCACGGATCAGGCATTCTTTACAGCAAGAGATGTCAATTTCGCTCATGACATAGCGCCACTTCTTCTCAGGGAACGATCATCCTGTCAGATTTTTGGGAACCACTTGTGCTCCGGAGCTTGTCCGTGCAGTCGACAGTTGGCCTTAGCAAAGCAGTCGTAATTTCTGAAGGTGTGCAGTCGTAATATCCTAGATAACCCCCAGCGCAATGAGGGCCTTATTGCTCAGTCCCGAGCGACATTTGCAAGGAGCCTGGCTCCTAAACCTGAAGGCAGAACTCGAGAAGCGCAATTCTGCGAAAGTCGAGGTCGACATTGTCGCGATTGAGCACTGGTCACAAAGCCATTTCGATACATTGGAGCAGTCACCCTGGAACATAGCAGTCAACCGAGTTTCTGATGCCTCCGAGCCTGCCGTAGCCAAGATGGCACTCGTCATCATGAGGCAGCTGGAGCTCCGTGGGGTACCAGTCATCAATCCCAGCTCGGCATATTCCTTGCTGATGAGTAAGTCCGGGCACCACGCAGTGTTGCAGCTCGCGGGTGTGGAAATGCCAGAGTCCGCTTTTGTCAATGGCTTGGGCCTCGCAGCAAACAGCAGCCAGGCTCTCTCCGTCCTGACGCAGCCACGAGACAAGTTCCCTTTGCTGTACAAGCCCTGTGCTGCCGCTTATGCGAAAGGTGTGGTGACGATGAAGGACGAGGCTGAACTGGAGGCCTTCGCCAGCCAGGTCCAGTCCTTCGCGAATTCTCCTTCGTTTGAGGTGAGCCCGTTAGGAAACGACAACACGGGATTCCTACAAAAGTTCTGCGCTCCAGACCTTGGACAGTACTTTCGGGTTTTCGTCCTCGATGGCAAGTTCCAGTGCGCCATCAAAGTTGTGCCACGGGACGAGTCCGGACCCGGAGCCACTGTCACTTCGACATGTGCCTGCTCAGCCAACAAGACCTCTTCGTCCCCGCTCCGTTTCTTCGCCTACACGCCGACTGAGGAGGAGGCCACGGAGGCAGTCCGGATCCTTTCCGAGGTTGCGCAGGCCGATTGCGGATCGGTGGAGTTCCTTCGCATCGAGGGGAGGCGCCTCTACTTCGATGTCAACTTGCTTTCGCATTTGCCAGTTCGTGACGAGTCTTCCGACACTTTTCCGGGCTTTGAAGATCCGGAGGGGCTTTGGTCAAATCGTAATTTCTACGCCGAGCTCGCAATGGTGTGCTTGAGCAGAGGTAGATCTCGCCAAGATCCCCCCGCCCATCCGCAAGTGCAGCCACAAACTCCTGGCACTTGCGTGGTGTCCTGACATCCGAGTCGAGATGCCATTCGTAAGTCGATCAACACGCAGCAACTTTTGACGATGGACGAAGAAGCATAGAAACGCTCGTGCTTTGTCGCATGAAAAATTTGATTTGCCGGGGTGCATCTCAGTGCCGACGACCATGCAGAATGCTCCAACGACTTTTCCACCAGGTGCAGGCGCACGCTCCCATCCAGGTCTGGACTTCTTGGGAGCTGCGCACTCCTGCTTTTTCTGCTTGATGTGAGAGGAGCTGGTTAACAACCAGCATGAGCTGCCGTCCTTTATGCGGGACTGGGTTCTTTCTATATTTTGATTCGGGTTCATGTCAATCTGCTAACTCTGCGTATACCTTTCTTGTAGCTGTGAACCTTGGCAGGACACGGCTTCCAAGCGTCTGAAGGATCCAGAGATATCCCGGATCCAGGACAACGTGCAGAACTCAGCTTTCATCCATCATTACCATGCTTGTATCAGTCGGGACTAGATTCATGCACAGGTGGAAAGAACTATCATCGCCATTGACACGCTCGGTGTTTTCCACCAGGATTTCAGATCTCACACATGGCATGGCAGATGTGCCTGAAAGTGACCGGTGCAAGGAGCGGCGAGCGATTAAAGCCACGGAGGTGCTCATTTCTTTTTGACGACCTGAGAGCTTGCGTCGCTGCTATGCTTCCGGAGGCTCCTGCACTGATCAGACAAGAACGAAGACTGCGGATGGGTCTGTCACAGGCGAGATGTCCCACTTGCCTTTCTGCACGTCCTTCTGCACGTCTCTGTTTGTTCAAGAAGGCTGCGAGTCAAAGCTGACTTGTGCGAAAAGCGAGTCTACTAGCACAGGAGAGAAAGCTCCCACCGATGTGCAGCGTACACAACCGCTATGTAATTAGTGTGCATGCCTGTCCTTGGCCATGGAGCTGCGCCGACGTGCAAAGCTGACGAAGCTACTTCTTCTTGCAGCACTTCTCCTGTTCTCTGGGCGTGGGACTCAGATGATCTCAGATGCACATGTTCAAGCTCGGTTTGCAGGACACGCCGCTGTACATTGTTGACGTAGACAGACCTGGAACCTGTATGTGTCACCGGAAGGAAGCAGCATGTGATCGGATCTCAACTGCCTCCAGGTGCGAGCTGTGCTTTACCTCTCTTACAGGCTGGACCAGGTTTTCTGAACACGCCTTTGCTGTTCGTAGCTCGTCTCCTGGATACCCTGACTGTCTTTGAGCCTGGGGTGGATTGCAACGTCTGCTGCTGCAGCATGGCCTTTCAGAATGTACGCCTGTTCCTTGTCCTGTTCCGTCGGCACGATCTCGCAAAGATCAGCGGACAGGTGGGTGTGGGCACGGGCGAGGCTTCATGAGGGAGATGAATCATTCTCAGCGGCATCTCGCCTCCTTGCAGACATGGGCCACCAATTCTCCTCACAGCTGTGACTGCTTTGACCTTCCCGCAGTTACTCGGATCTTTTACCACTCACTTTTCATGTGGCCGTATATGGCCTGTGCTCCAACAGCAGGGACGCGACGAGAGTGCGGGCAATCTGCAGCCTGGACAGCCAGCGTGCTCACAGGCGCCTCGGTTCCACCTGTGTCATTTGTGTCTCTGGGATATGCCAGTGCTGATGATGGAGCAATTGAACGACGGCTTAGGCAGCACAGTGGGTTCGATCTTGAGTGGCACGGAGCGCGACGTGTGGGCGGCCACGTTGCGTGGGACTGATGGCCTGCTATGCTAAGGTTCTCGAAGGTATAGTTATGTAAGAATGCCTCGCCATGTTGTCAGGAAAGCTAGAGGAGTCCTTGATTTGTAAGAGTTGTAAGGAAACCACCGGTGCATAAATTGCAACTCCCTATCCACTTTTCTCTTACGGACACCTTCCTTGCGCAGCGAGAAAGAGCCAGCGACGGAAGTCCTAGCGTATTGAATTCAGATCTGTGCAGGAGTGAAACAGCCTTCGGTGAAGGGCGACAGAAGCTGAAGGCGGCCGAATCGCTGCAGCTTGCTGCAGCTTGCAGACTTCTGGTATCTAGCAGTCGCAGTCGCGCTCAGGCGTACTACATCAACACGGACTTGGATGATGCGCGCAGGAGCGGTCTGGAGAGTACGTGTGTCCAGTTGGATTTGGCTGCTCGGCTGAGCGAAATGGTTTTCGTGGGTAGTCGGTTGGATCTCTATGCCTCGATGCAGCATGAAGCGAGATGGGGCAGCGTCTCCAACCTGAAGTCGCACGCTGATGTGTGTGCATGCCTGCATTGTTGACATAAGGATTGTGAGCGTGTGATGCCTCCGAAGCTAAGCAGTGAAGAAGTCTTGAATTGCGTCGACAGCACGCCTCTGCGATCTTTTGAGCGCCTCGCATGAACATGATGTCTCATCCAGAGTTGCTGATGAGTTGCTTCAGGGGTCAAAGTGGAACCGAAACCGTTAAAAGCCTGAACCCGCAACCCTGATACACAACGGTCAGTCAGAACAAGACAAACCCTAAACCCCAAGACCATACCTAGAAGTCACGCATGCGGGCATACGACCATGTGATTGCACGCAACGCGTGCCATTTTGGCACAAGATCGAGAAATTTTCAGTAGCCTGACTGGCTTCGCCATGTCCGGTGATCGGGCATGTTCCGCAGAGCAGGAGGATCCGACATCGCCTGATCGGCACGTTCCTGGCTCTTCTGGTGTTACCGGGTGCGGTATGCTTCGCTCGGCTTTGCAGCTGCTTCTTCAGCGTACAGACCAGGAGTTGGGCATGTCTTTGCAGTGCTTGTCAGTCCGAGATCAGGCTAGACTTCGATATCTGCTGGCACGGATACAGGTCTTGCAGGAAGCCTCTCAGATTGGGTATCAGCCTCGTCTGGAGTTGCTGCCGGCGAGTCGACTTCAGGATCCTTCGCGCGTGGATGCCGAGAGTCAGTCAGGTACCTCTTTCTCTCCTTCGGCTGAGTTCGGCGTTCAGGCTGTGCGCGAAACTTTGGACCAGGCCTCTCAGTACTCGCAGGTTCTCGTGGACAGTGGGTCGCAGTCTGTTCTGTCAGTTGCGGACAACTCCGCGCAGACAGACAACGCCGGCTTGTTCCTCCAGGTTGCTCACAGGGCGCCGTTAGTGGCTTTAGGACCGCCGGGCAAAGCCGCTTTGACTTTCTGGCCAGGACCGCCAGCGAAACAGACTGGGACTACCGCCTCGCAGGTCTCGCAGGAACCTGCCGTCAAGACCCCGCCGCTCAGGACTGCAGCCGAGGAGACAACAGCTGGTGACACTCAGGTCTCGCAGGAACTTACTCAGGACCGTGTGCAGCCCCCGAAGACTGGGGCCTTCTCAGGCGACGAGCCGGTGCCGCAACCAGTAGTTGGAGACTTGACCCAGGACTCGCAGGAGCAACCTCAGCGAGGACAACTACTACCGTTGAGCAAGAAAGCAAACCCGAAGCAGCCGCCGTTGGCGACTGAGGCGGGCCAGAGCATGCCGTGCGTGCCACCGCCGCCTCCCAAGCCTCAGCACGACTCAGGTTTGTCGGGTGCAGTTGCTAGGCCGCAGCGCCAGGGATGGAGTCCCTACGACTACCCGATCATATGGGACTTTTCAGGAAACATGGAAGGAGTCCCTCCTCTTGGATCCATGGAGAAGTTCCAGAAGATGGTGCAGGACCTGGGCATGAACCCGCCAGGAGTTGCGGGATCCCTTGTACGGCAACATAAGGGATACATTTACGCTCCCGTGGATCTTGTGGGGTACGAGGGCCAGCTGCCCGAAGGATCTAAGGAATCTCAGGCTTTTCTCAGGCTTCGACCTCGAAGCTGCGGAACAAGGGCTTCTCGCTGGCAGGCTTTTGCCTCGAGCCATGTTTCTTTCACCGTTTCTGCGCCACTTCGTGTAGCAAACCAGTGTGTGTCGAAGCGAAAGCGACACACGGACGTCACGTGTGTGAAGGCTGTGAAGAGCAGGGTGTGCCCAGCCGCCCTCAGTGGCCCCCAGGTTCACCAGGTCATGTGCTATGACCTTACTAGGTTTTTCGCGTTGCGTGTTCTGCTTCTGGGTCACCTGGAAGCTGGTAGGACTCAGGATGCACAGGCCAGTGAGTAAGCTGCTGCCTTGAAGGACCACTGTAGTGCAACCAAGCTGCTTTTCTCTTCAGCCACCTAGGACCCGGACCTGTGTAGCCTCTGTCGACACTTCGGCACCGGCACTAGCTTTTCTCAGGTGCTCAGGAACCACAATCGCCTCAGGTTGGTGCGTAAGCCACCAATCTGTGAGAGGCGTCTTTTCGCTCCCAGACTTTTGTTTTGCACAGTGCTCAGCTCTGTCAACACTTAGGCACCAGCACTGGCTTTTCTCAGGTGCTCAGGAAACACAGTCGCTTCAGGTTGGTGCGTATGCCACCGATCTGTGAGAGAGGCGTCTTTTCGTTCCCAGACTTTTGTTTTGCACAGTGCTCAGCGGTTGTTTAAGTGAAGCTGACCCAGAGAACTTTTCCCTTTTCCTTCTCAGTCTCTAACACCAGAACCGAACAGTGAGGGCACAAAAGCTGCAGTGCGCATCGTGCTTGAAGTGATAAGACGTGGTTGATCAGTTTGACACGGGCACGCAGTCGAATCGTGAACAAGTACCGACGCAGTGCTGCGCAGTCAAGACTGTAGGGGAAGCTTAAGGGGCCTCCCGGGCTTCTCTCTGCCAGTTTGGACGGCAATCTTTTCAAGTGTCCGGTGCTCGGCTTCTGGGCTTGTGCCCCGCGTCTCTTTGTGCGTGCTTATGCACCCGTCAGGGGCCCACTCAGTGGTCTCTTCTGGTCCTCAGGACCTCTGTGCGCCTCTGGGCCTTGGCAACTCCGGCTTGTGCCAGTGTGGGCTTGTGCCTTCTTTCCCTGGCTTGTGCCAGGTCTGCTGGCTTGCGGGCGCTCTGCTCTCACGTGGCGAGAGGCATTTTGGTGCCTTCTGCTCCTGTTTGGGCTTGTGCCTCCTTGTCAGGTCTCTTCAGTTTCGCTGGCGGGTGACCGCTTCACCCCTTGGTCAGGCCGTGCTGTCAGTTTCCCAAGGAACTGACGCAAGTCATGGCTTCGTCACTGGCAGATAGTGAAGCCACCTTCAAAGCAAAGCTGAGCAAGTATAATTTGCCCAGTGCAGTTCAGGAATGCTTGGCATCTCAGGGTCTCAGCAGTTACGGAGCCCTGCTTTTTCATGTCGCGCAGGCTCCAGGGCAGGTTGATGAAACCAAGGTTGCCGCCCTCGTGGACACTTTTCCAGCAACCCACAGGAAGGCTCAGGTTAAGGGTGTGTTAAATCGGCTTCTTTTCGAAGCAGGTACGCTGGTAGCGTCTGAACTTAAGTCTTCAGTAGATGCTCAGGATGACACTCCGAGGAGGCTCACACCCGAGGAACGCTCATCCAGGGTGGCAGCAGTCAGAAGCAAACTCGGAAGTTGGCCGCTAGGCGGTCAGTTCGAGCCATCCCACAGGTTGATTGATGTATGCAGCGCAATGGTCAGGGATCAGGTAATCAGGCACATTGCACCGTCGATGTGTTCCAGCCGTGACGCCGAAATCACAAGCACCAAGCGAGATCCCCACCTCATCACACTTGAGGACAACACGTTGAAAGTCAAGGCGAAACAGGCGGCAGTGCGCGTGGATGTATCCACCGACCTCAGGCTGTAGCAGGCAGTTTCCAGGCGCGGCTTGGCTTTAGAGGTCGCAGGCGTGTGTTCGTACGAGGTTCATGAGAGGTGTATGCGCACCTTGTTTGACCACCTTCACAGGCAACCACCGCCCAATTACGTTGCTCCAGGGCATGATCATTTTTTGCGTGCTGACCGTGAACTGTGGAAGTTAGTGTCTGAGAAGGTGGGGCATGACATCAGCTCGGCCACAGGGGCCAGTCAAGTGGACAAAGCTCTTGAAGAATCCCTGTTTCACATGAACGTTGTGTTCCACATGATGCCGCTGCATAAGCCTCAGGTCCCCAGCAAGCGCCCTTGGGAGCAGGTTTCGTCGACAGGTCGCGAGGGCAAGGGACGCCAGGACAAAGACAAGGGCAAAGGAGGTAAAGGCAAGGGCAAAGGCAAGGGCGACTCAGGTCGCAACGTCCCGGCGCAACTCAAAGGTCTGGGTGTCAGGTTGTGTTTCAATTTCAACCTAGCACACGGTTGCTCCTTGGAATGCAAAGATATCAATGGCAACCCTACCTGCGCCAGGGGGGCCCACTTGTGCATGCGATGCGGTGGTCAGCACAGCGCAGCCACCTGTGAGTCGTGACTAGACAACACGACCCAACAACAGCAGCAGTTTGTGTCTTCAGCTTCCGCGAACGCCTCAGGTCAGCAGGAAAATCTTGTCAGGCTCGTGCCTCTTGCCTTAGAGGACTGTTCCAGGGATGACAAGCCAGACGCAGCTGTAACGCACGCGCAGGCTTCCACAGAAAGGGTGTTGCAGGACTCGCAGGTTGACCCAGGTTTAGCAGTTGGTCAGGGTCTGCCTTCTTTTGTTGCTGCAAAGCAGACTCCAGAAGCCGCGTCTGAGCACAAGGAACCGGCACAGCTTCCCCCACCAGGACCCGTTCCGGTCTACGAGAAAGCGCGGCTCAGGTCCAGGTTTCCTGGAGCAGTGCTTAACGACTTGGTGTGTCTCGAGTTGTTCGCAGGCAGTTGTCGCTTGAGCTCAGCCTTAGCTGCTGCAGGGTTTCAGGCAGTTGCATAGACAGCAAGGAGTGCAGTGCCTTTCGTGTTCTGAGACTGGACCTGCTACAGGCCAGCAGTCGTGAACTTGTTCTTGACCTGCTCGTGCACAGAAAAGTTTTTTACCTTCACTGCGCCCCACCATGCGCGACCAGCAGGAGTATCCCACTCGGGTACAGGAGGGGGCCGGGACCCAGGCCTCTTAGATCCTTTGAGTTTCCCGAAGGAGTTCCAGGCTTATCCTTCGCTGAAAGGACTCGCGTCAACAACGCCAACACGCTGTACGAGTTTACAGCACAAGTTGTACAGGTTGCTCAGGACTGTGGATGTCTTTGGTCTGTTGAGAACCCATCAGGTAGCCGCAGCCATTTCTGGAACACCAAATGGATGCGGCACTTGGCAGGAATCTTAGGCCATGCCTTGCAGTTTGTGGAGTTCCACAATTGTTGTTTTGGAGGGAACAGGAAAAAGCTCTCCACTCTTTGGTGCAATTTTCAAGAGCTGCAGATTTTGAACATGTTGTGCAGGCCAGAGATGAACCACCCCCACACACACACACACACACACCGCCCGTGGGGTCTGTCTCAGGAGCGAGGGTTTGCAACTCAAGAGGAAGCAGCATATCCAGTAGCGCTTTGCGTACAGTGGGCACAGGCAGTTAGAAGACAGGCACAAGGAATGGGAC